GCTTAACCTAAAACATTTCATGTACTGACCATCTCTCTCATTAAAAACATTAATAAATTAAACGACTCCTTAACCCTAGACAATGTGTTGGAGGGTGGGGGATGATTTTATTGAGAAACCTTTAAAAGCCACTGTTTCTGTTTTCATGTCCTACATTCACACTGGATAAAGTCAGTTTTTACTGTGAGTTACTGACCAAATCCTAGTGATTACCTATGTACTCCAAGGTCTCTATATGTGACATAGACTAGCAGGAAGTAGTACAATAAGCCCTGATTTTGTAATGAGCCTGCTGGAAGGTAGAATGTTCCTTATGAAATTCATTGCACATGACTGCTATTCATCTTTCAAGATTGGATTTCAGTTGACACCTTCTCTAAATGGGTCTCTATGCTAGATGGGCTTCCTAAATGTACACATAAATCTGTAATTGATTAACCACATTAATAATGTTCATTATAGATTATACAGTAGGTCCCTACCCTAATTACTGTGACTTGAATTTAGAGGGACACTGTCAGAGGACATACTTTGACATCTGCATTTGTTACAAATCAAAGGGTCCCCATATGAGACCAGTCTTGTGCGAGTACAGCATTTTACAAAACGTGCCAGGAAACTCCTCATAGGACCCTTCCATGTCCCTGATCAGATTTAATGAAACATGCTATTTTACAGGGATAATCCACCATGTGATGGTGAATCAATAACAGCTTTCATTCCTTTCAAATTTCCAAAAACATGAAAACAGTGGTGTAGCAGTAATGATTTTTTTTTTGACCACGACCCATGATCTGATACCCCATCAAGACACCCAAAGTAGTTGTTAACAACCAGATTGCAACCATGCTGCACTCTTGCACAGACATTGCATTAAATACAGACAGAGCATGTAATAAGCATGTTGTAATGGGGAAAACTATTACATTTTGTTTTAATTAATCTTTTTCATTTCTACGGTTGATGAGATATGTTTCATCATTCAAACTAAAGTTCCTCTGGTGTATTACAGTCTCAACATGAGCACTGTGGTATCATGATGTGAAATATACACCTGAGGGTTCACATTCTATGCCACCAAATGACACTCCCAGCATACCTCCTGTACTTTACGTTGAATTTCTCAAAGCATTTCTGACTTTTGCACAGCATGGACTGTGTTTAGGAACCAAAGTGCAAGGTTTTGGAATCATCTTTTGTGGCATTTCAAAACTAACTGGTCATTCCAGAAAACATCAGAACTGGATGTTAGAAAGATCAGACTGCAAGTGGAGCTGACACTGAAAGGCCTTTGAGATCTGCCAGACCACTCTGAAGGGAACAGTACATGATGTGAGAACACAACACTGTCATTGTTTCCCTTACTTATCAGCAAGACTGAGACTCCACAATGTAATTTATTAGCTGTATACCACGGGTTTACACACACAGGCCCTGAAGCGACAGATGAAGAATGATCTGACTCTGCTCTGTGCACAAGACTTCAATAGTTGTCAGAGACATGAAAAAAGTGAAGCTTTTAAGGGCCTCAAGTCAAACAATGACTAAATATCTGAAGGAAGAATAGTGCCATCTTGTCTTACATTTCTATTCCGGTGACGATAGCCTAGTGACTTAGCTTTGGTAGATAAATTAACAAGGGCTGCTCATCACACTGTGCAGTAGCTTATCAAGGTCACTATCTCTGAATTACCTGTTTGTTGGTTTCTGTCTGATGTAAAATTGTGTCCCTCTGTAAACCAATGTAGCATTTTTAACCATCAGTCAATCAGCGCAAGGAAACAGATGCACAATGCTGATATGGTGTTGGTTAATGTATGTTCAGATTGAATGCGAGAGCAATTTCAATGCCATGTGGACATCACAACTAGATACAGAGCCAGCAGGAAAACTACTATAGCTACAGTAGCTAAGCTAAAACCGAGTCATTAACGAAGCTAAGCTATACCACGTTACCCAGAAAAAAGCAGTCTAAGAGAAGCTACTTCACATCAACAAGGAACATGAACTATTGAGAAACATAATCAACAATTGCAGTTTAAAATTATATTACTGTGAACTGTTAAAAATGTATCATCATTGTTTTGTGCTGAATTTAAACTCAACAAAACAAGTTGTAAGTTGTCAGAGTGCCCCACTAATTGGACAAAAACAGTAGCTACTGGGGAAACAACTCTCCAAGACTGTATGAGAGTGGGCACCAGCAGACACTAATTTGCCGTAGGCAGTGCAGATTGAGGCAAGAACAAGTCTGCATGAATTTGAAATGTCAGCTTGACTGAAACATTTGCTTTTATGCCAAGGCTGTTGTATAACACTTTACAAAATACAGAGGGAAAAGGACAGTGATGGGAGGAAAACAAAAGAAACTATCAAAGTTCTTGTTAAATTTTGAGATAAGTCAGACTAATCACAAAAACTCACCAACAAAAACACACACAGTCAGTGCTAGCCCTGGCTCTCATGTATTATTTACACTCAAGTCACAGAGATAATCTTCCATGAACGTAAAAAATTGAGACTTGCCAAAAATGATCATTAGTTTCTATGTCTATTCTTCTCATATATAAAAAAAGACCAACAGGAAATGATGTCATTCTAGTTTTGTGTGAAAGTGGCTCGACTTCATGAATGTATTATTGAAACACTTCCAATTATAATTTCAATTAATTTTCAATAATCATCATAATTATAGGTCTCAATAATACATTCATGCTCAACTTTCACAAAAAAGTGAGCGAGACAACATTTCCTGTCACCATCTTTTCTGAACTGAAAAGAAACTGTATGACTCAAGAAATTGATTAAAATTATATTTTACCTGGACTGGTCCACATTATTTCTGATTTGGCATTGTTAGAAGAGTCTCTGAGGATTTGGGAAATGCCTTCAGAATTTGGGTGAGTGTTATGAAACAATGGTATGAGGTTAAAACAGTCGGCAAGTTTCAGTTTTGAAGGTTAGCCGATGATTATCTCTGGGGCTAGGTCGGTGCTACAGCATAGCTAAAGTCTGCACACTAAAATGTAACATAGTACAGTCATCTAATGAGTTGTGATTTAAAAAACATATTCATGTTAAGCAATGACCAAAGATAAATTGATTCCACTAAATGTTTGTATAATGTTTTACAGTGTGTGGTGCATTGGATGTTTGGTGTGAATAAACACAGGGTGCAAAAGAATATGGCACTCAAATTCACAGTAATAATGAAAACATGACTGTCATTCTAGACAGAATGGTACTCTCAAAGCTTCCAATTCCTGCATGGTTATGGCACTGAATCAGCAGGCACGTGTGACTTTAACAAACTGTGTAAAAGATAATCAAGACAAAGATCCACCGAGTGTGTCAGTGAACAACATTTACATCTATATCTGTCTTTGCTTCTTAATATGGGATTGAAACAGAAGTGAACTTAAGACATTCCTTTTTGATAAAGCTTATAGTTAGGGCTGGATCAGGTGACCCTGGGCCTTCCCTTAGTTATGCTGCTATAGGCCTAGGCTGCTGGGGGGCCCCATGATGCTCTGAGTTTCTTTTGGTGCTATACAAATAAAATTTGATTTGAATTTTGATTTGGTTTGAAAAACATTCAAAAGAAATGCTTACACCAGAGAGATTCTTTATGCTGGGTGGTGGCTCCTAATGAATGGAGAGATGTTTCACACACACAGAGTTAAAAAAAAATATATATATATCATGGTGACTTTACAGCTTAATATAAGAAAGGTTAGGTTATGAATAAATCAGTGATGCTGATAAATAAACAAATGGGTAAAAGTAATTTCTCTGAATGCATGATTTTGTTTGATTTTCAGAAATCGGTGTGGTCTGATCATTTGTCATGCAGCACTGGATGACTTTTTGGTGGAATCATTTTTCTCAATTCATAATCAGACACTTGTTTCATTGATCGACATTCATCACTGCTAGAGCGTGTGCGGATGCAGGTAATTGGACAACAGGCTACATTCCAGTTTGTGCTGATTTTTTCCGATACCTCCCAGGACTTCTCATGCATCATCATTTCATCTCAGCTGCTGCTGGAATGCTGTCGTTCAAATACCTAATGAAGAGATATGCCGCTCTTATCCTGATATTTAACGATGCATGCACAGAGGAATTCGCCCAGACCTGGTTCTTTCTACCCCCTGCCTCCCCTGCACATTAAACACTTGGTTTAGCACAGTGTCTACCATCAGTGACAAGAAATGTGATCGGACTTTGGATTACTCCAGGAACAGGGCGGGTCATGCTCTGGGAGGAGGCCACTGATTGGATGCCTTGGGTGACACAGCTGATTATGGACAGCATGGCATACTTTGTTGAACAGCCTCGCCCTGGTAGACACAAACTCAACCACATTTTATTTGTGATATGACAGAAGGTGGACCATAGTTTCACCACATAAAACCTACTCTCTAGGGAGTGCTGAGAAAACTTGATTTTAATGGCTTTTTAGTTTATGTAAACAGAGTAGCCGCCACATACTGGGAGTAGTATCTCTGTAAACATTGTTTTAAGTGTGTCAACACTTTTAAAACATAATGTTAATATTGTATGAATATTTCAGATGCTTAAATAAGGACTGGTACATTTTTAGCCAATAATGAAAACATATGAAGCCTCGCTGGCATTAGCACCAAACAATAGTGTTATTTCAGTGGTCACATGTTGCTCATAGGCTCTACTGATCACTGGACCAATGGAAACTAATTGAGCTGAATGGATCCTAGGCTTAGCTAATAACATAAGCAACTAGAGGCAGTGAAGGGTCAGTAGGCGGGGTTACATGTTGGACAAGGACGAGGGTGTTCAACACTTTTTGGCACAATGGCATGGACAGGCTTTGGCTGGGCCTAGCCCAGATCACAGGCCATTGGCATTTGGGATTAGCCCTGGAATGGAATGGCAGGGTGACAATCGGTTGATTGGTTGATGAACCTGTTTGCCAGGCAGATTCCAGGCGTTTGGCAGCCCCTAATGGTGACTCTTACCACAACAGATATCCGGACTCGTTTGGCTGGCCTGCTGAGCTCAGGAGGCGTAGGGCTCTCCATGTTGTTGTTATTCTCCACAGTGACCAGAGACAAGCACACAATGTTAACAATCACCTCATTGTCAGTTTGACTTAGCAAAAGCTAAACTTCTTTTCAGTGCCACTTTGAAATGAGCAAACTTCCCTGCAAATGCTGGAAGAAAAACAAATTGAAAACTTCTTTCTCTGAGCAGGGTGGTGCAAGAGTGGAGTGTTTTAGTCTTGCAGGGTGCAAGCTGAGACAAGGTGAAAAAGGTTTTATATTAGGCACTTTTGGACCGAAGAACTTCGTCATAGTTCTGAGAACCGCTGGATGAATTACCCCCTTTTTTGTGTCCCCACAAACTATTTGTTCTTAGAACATTATTTTGAGGGATTTTTCAGTTCCTAATTGCTGCACCGCCAACCGCCACTCTTAAAATAAAATAAAAAAACAAAACAAAACTGTGTTAGCTGTGTAAACATTAGCAATCAACAGCCATCACTAATGGTACGGGGTGCTGCAGTCTGCCAAAGGAAGCCTCTGCCAAAGGTTAGCAGCTCCTTATACAATTAACAGTAGCAAAAGATAAAGAAAATACTTACCGGTAATGTAACATCAGTATGTGTTAACCATTGCGAGCTTGTTAGCTAATCACTAGCAGTCGGCCGGCTTAGTGTTACATCACCTCAGCGCTCCAACTGGCGGTGTCAATGCAAACAGGAAAAAAAAAGCCAGCAAAGGCTTGGAAGCTCTGAAGTCCCTAAAACGGTTTGGTTCGAAAGCGCCTATTGAGGCTGACTGAGATACTGTGTGTGTGCGTTCTGTGGCCGTGCGTGTCTGTCTGTGTGGGAGGTACTGTACTGTAGAGCATGAAGGACTGTATGTGAGAGATAGCATAGGACTGTGTGGGTGTACAGAATGTGTGAACGACAGGATGTGAGCCACTGCGTGTGTGAGTGTGTGTGATGGTAGTGCATTTTCGGACATGGCTTTCTCACCTCCAGGCCTTCTGTGACTGGACTGGCGCAGAAAAGGTTCTTTAAAGCAATGCCCGAATTATTTTGTGGACCTGAAAGAGAAACAAAGAGGGATTCAAAACAGTGACACCATCAGCTGTCCCTATTCTCCATCTGTTAGACACTCTCTAATTATGTGCCTTCTGTTTGCAGGCACTTCCCATCTAAAGAAGCATTACAACAACAGCTGCATCATCTGGCTGAACTGGGCCATGGTGATGAATCTTGAAACAACCAAAATCTTGATATTCTTTTTGTGGTCTTTACTGAGAATGAAAGAACACATAAACTAAACATATGTTCAGGGCTACAAATTACAGCTACAAGCAGTTTCAGCTTGTTTATAGATGATCTCAGAGGCATTCATTCATTCTTTCATTCATTTTCTACCGTTTAGTCCCTGAACGGGGGCGGAGCCAATCCCGGCCTGCAATTGGGGGAAGGCGGGGTACACCCTGGACAGGTCGCCAATCCATCGCAGGGCTAACACATAAACGAACAACCACACACACGCACATGCACTCCTACGGGCAATTTAGAGACACCAATCAACCTAAGCTGCATGTATTTGGACTGTGGGAGGAAGCCGGCTTCCTCCCCCCGCCATGCAGCACGGGGAGAACATGCAAACTCCACACAGAAAGGGTCCCAGGTGGGGCCCGAACCCGGAACCTTCTCGCTGTGAGGCAATGGCGCTAACCACTGCGCCACCATCTCAGAGGCAATGGGTGGATAAATTTCTTTGCCATTAAAAAAGACAGCAGTTCATTTTACCATTTGCCCTGTTACTACTGCACTTGTATGTATGGAACAGGACAAAGAATTTAAATATATATACAGTATATCTATGTTTCTTGGTGTTTTGAAGGGGGGATACAATACTTGTATCACACATTCACTTCAACACAAAGTGGTGCCTGCTCTTGCCTCTTTAATAGCAGATATCTGAAAGGAACCTAGACCCAAAGCCTCACAAGTTTCAGGTTATGGAAAGCCCCAGGTTACAGGTTAATCATTTCCTGAAGTGGAAAAAGGGTACAAGAGTACATTACCTCAGCACTCCACACAATCTGGAACAACCAAATATTAGACCAAAGATAAACACCTCATCCAGCTGGACAACTACAAAATAATCTCCAATTCTTTTGGGTATTGAACAGGCAGTACTGAGTGGTAGGTTATCTAGGCACTGAGGGTGACCAGAAACTAAGAACGGTTTTTTAAAAATGCAGACAGAGACCTGAGCCTGGCCACTGAGACTAGTGACACAAACATACAGTAACAAACAATAATCAAGTTCTTCACCAAAAGGAAACTCGGGTACCAAGAACTGGATGCAGTCAAAAAAAAAAAAAATGCTGAAAACGTAGTAAAATATGCTCTTCTTCTATGCTTCTCAACATTACAATTACATTTAAATGATTTTTTTTTTACTATTTAGCAATGTGAATGACATTAATACAGAGTAACTATATTAATTGAATTAATATACTTACTGTAAACCTTGTACAACAACTTGTTTTAGAAACTCTTCTCAATTACAATTATTCAAAATATTTATCTAAATAATATTGATTATTTTTATTATGGTGTTAATTATTGTTCATATATGATCATGCCACAGGGCAAATTTAAAATTGAGACATTTAAGTATGTGTGCCATGTTGTGAAAAAGAAAAGATGGACAGTCAAACTTAGTTTTTCTTTTTAAGACCGTCATAGTCACAGGGTCCTAGAATAATTTTTTTAATCATCTAGGAGACATAGGGACAAAGACACAAAGGGAGAGAACGAGACTAAGAGGTGCTGTTAGTGTTCTGCAAGTTTAGTGACAGAGCCCATTACAGACACTCCTTCTGGATCTATTAAATCTCCTGTTCTGGAAACAGGTGTGACAGGTGTGACAGATGTGCATGCGTCGTTAAGTATGCAATTCTCACCGGTGGGCATCTCGGTGGGTCGCTCCACCCCAGAGGATCTCTTCAGAGCGGGTTTGAGAGGCTTCTGAAGAACCGGACGAGTAGGATTAGCGGATGATTCCTCGGTAGAGATCTATGTGAACACACACACACACACACACACACACAGATAAGAAACACTACTCAAAAATCCAGACCCCATCCCAGCTTAAGAGTCAACCCTGCCTTCTCTTTCTGCTGACTCATTAGACAAATGGATGTACTTCTGTTGAGGGTTGAGATGGAGACAAATCAAAAAGGGAGAAACTGCTGACGCCAAAAGAAAATACACACAAAGAAAAGAAGTCAGCTGGAGTTGAAAGCAAAAAGAAGGGTTCTCATGTTGGCCTTGATTTAAAATTTCACGACTTTCATTGCTAGCATTTCCATGACCTAAATATATTTTTTACTTGGTTATGGTAAAACCTTTGTGAAGTGGGAGAACATTCTGATGTCAGTCACAAGATGTTTCACTAATGAAACGCTTGTGTGAAACTAGTTGGAAATGCATTCAGCTGTAATTCTCTGCAGCTACCCATTGTTAATTCATTATAATTCCAGATATACTGGGCTGATATCGTCTTTCAATATTAAACATCAGCTAAAGTTTGTGTAATTCTGTGGAAAATGACAAATATTTCTAACTTTTAGTACAAGTGGTCAAATATACAGACATAAAAAAACATCACCCATCAGGAGGTTTCATACAAAAAAAGCGTTTCAAAACAAAGTAGTAAAATAATGTAGAAAACAAAATAAGCTAAGGCTAATGTGGCCAGGGGAAGCTCCGTTTAAAACTGCTGAAGAAATCAGCATAGGAAGGAGACAGTGGGAGAAAAGGGGTAAAGAAGGCGTGAAGTCAGAGAAATGAAGAGAAGAGAGCATCTCTATCGCACACAGACTCACAAACTCTCCTGCCTTCCACCCCCACATCCAGGCCTGAGGGTGTCCTACACACTCATTGCATACTGATGAGAGAAATGAGGATAATGAAAAAAAAAGATAAAACAACAGTAGAGTGGAAAACCTGGAACCAATTTCAACATCAACTCTGCCTATTTCCATGTCTTTTGCTTAAAACACACACAAAACCTCATATAGTCTCATTATCGTTGTTATTGATGGGTTAATAACGCACGTTAATGCTCCGAGCTATCAACCTGTCACACACACACACACACACAGTGTTTTTCTGAATGATTTTCATACCATTTTAAATCATCCAACCTGGAGTTTGTCCAAGAGCTCATTTTTAAGTGCAACAGAAAAGCAATGACTCTGAAACAGACCCTGTATGTTTGTTTGGCTTGATTTAATTTGGTCTGTTTTAGCCAGTCAACTATTCTGTCTGATTTTTCACATTTATAGTGTTAAAACCTTAAAGATGCTGAAAGCCTATTTACTCACTCTCCAATGGGATCCTTCATAGACACACAGTTGTCTGCCAAAGGCAGAACAGTTGTGTATATTTTCATGAGAAGTTTCTTTATTTGTCATGCTCGTTTCACTGGTTTCAAAAACGGAAAAACGGTACGTTATGTATTTGTGTGTACCAATTAGGATTTAGCAAAGTACAGCAATACTATATGATGTTTTTTGCAACTGAATGCTAACTTTGATTGTTGCTTTGATGTAATAAACAATAGATAATGAAATAGTTTGCAGGGGCTTTAAAGTTCAGAGAGAATAATCTGAGATTTCTGCTGAGTCTTTCTGTTCTGTCCTACTAATCGATATGTGTACATGTTGGCAGTGATCCTTTCTTGGTTTGGTCATAACTTTACTGGGGTAACAAGCTTTATCAGCTCAATTATCCTGGTCACTATCTACAGTGAACACAAACTGATAAAAATCCAAAAGTGGGTCCATATTTTGCTGTTATTTCACTACAGCCCTCCTTATCCCACTTGTGTGACCTCTGACCTGAAAGCGGACCTCCTGACTGGCCCGCGGGCTGCTGTCCTCACTGCTGGGATTTGACAATACTGACAGCCTTTTCTTCTCCGCAACAGCTTGTTTCCTGATGTACTCTAAACGCCTGGGGCGCCCGAGCTGCTGGGAGAGCAGCAACTGGAGCTGGGCACGCTCGATGGAGCCCAACAGGATCATGGACTCTGAGAGAGGAGACAAAGGACAGAGAGGTGAGAAAAAAACGATAAAGGAGAAGGAGGTACCTGATGTGGACGAGGAGGGAAGGAGTTGTCCATTATTTTTCCTTCACAACGAATGAGCAAGAGAATAAAACAGAGAAAGACAAAGAAACAGCAAAACTTGTTTTAGGAGGGAAGAGTAAGCAGGCTGCACATGTTGCAGCACTGCAGAGAGCTCAGCTCAGTTACATAACAATGCACTGAATGTGCATTAACTGACGTGTGAGTGTCAGTTTGTGTGTGTGGCAGCGTGCTTGCTCTAAGTAATTGCCTTTGTGACAGTACATGCTGATTATGTATTTGGTTAAAAGCCGCAGCTAATTGTTCCTGCACGGCTGCATAATTGAGACAGCACTAGAATACCAGATACGCTCTTGAGCGAGGTGGTGTGTGCGGCCCAGTCATCAAGCTGTGCTCAGGCGAGTTTGTCAATCAATCAGTCAGTCACTTTAATGAGCACACCACCAAGGTCACTGGAATTTGTTTTTGGTACAAACTGGAAGGGACACTAGGTCCAACGGCATCGACAACATTGAACACAGACATCAATATCACACCAGACACAATGATCAGCACAGCAAGCTGTACTCACGCACAGCGTATACTACAGTAAAAAGGAGATTATTTTTTGCACTTTGATGTTTTCACACAGTTTGGTGCTTACATAGGAAAATACAGTTTTTCATTTGCTCCTATTATAATGCATTAAAGCCACAGTTTAGAGTATTAAAGCCGTCAGTCAAGAAATAAGAACAACATTTGTAACATCCCTCAAGTTGAACTCTCTTAAAATTACAAAATGGCAGGAAAATGTAGTATTTCCAGTATTTGATAATAAGTTTGACCTCTCTGAGTCCTTTCCATTGACGTACACCAATCTATCATAACATTACGACCACCTGCCTAACACCAACACAGGAGTCAGTGCAGCAAGAAAAATGTAATGAGTCACTCTTCAGTTATTAGTTTATTTCTAAATGTGTTATAAATAATTACTAATACACTCCCTCTGTAGAGTAAGTGCCTGTGCTTGTGTCTCACCAGCTGACTCCACCAGTGCCAGGGTCTTGAGGTGCTCCGTCAGCAAAACGTTGTGCAGGTCTCGATAGCAGCAGTTGAGTGTGATGTACCGCACGTCCCTTACCATGATGTCCTCCACTCGAATATTATATTTCCTGAAAGGTGTAAAGAGGAAAAGAGGAAGTGATGGTGAGGAGGGGGGAAGATGAGAGGAAAGGAATTCATCAGTTACACAGACAGCAGTGTACACCTATGTACACTGCTAACTTTTGAAAGATAACAGACTATAATGCTTTGACACTATAACTTCAGCTTTACTGCAGTTTTCATAAAAGTGTTTCTCTACACAAATCTACACTATAAACAGTCCTGTTCACAGCAGTGACAGCACATTCTTCCTTCAGCCACCCGCTCATTCCAATAACCCGGTACACTTCTGACACGCAACCATGACAGCATGGCCGTGCGCTCAGTAAGGGGAAGTGAGTGACACTGTGTGAGCAGATCTTGCTTCGGCAGAATCGTACACCCTGGTACACCAGTCACAAACACTGAGCTTTCTCTTCCTGCCCGAGCTTGCCAAAACCTGCAAACACGACAGCAGCCGCTCAATAGTTTCTGCTGCCAGGTTGCTGTGCCAGGACACAGGCTCTGGCCAAGCCTCCACTCCTTGTTGTGGTGACAACTCAATATGCTGACCTCTACTGAAATATAAAGTTAATTAGATGACCATTCTCCCCAAGCTGCACTTCAGTGCAACACAGCACAAAGTTGGTGCTTTTGAACATCAGGAACTGGCCTCAATAGAAATCAGTGCTACAACAAAGCCCTACAGAAAGGTTCTCTATAGAGAACCTATCAAATGCTGCTTTGTACGCTGCATCATTTAACCACATCTGAAAATGAAAATGGGTGTTCCGAGTGTCGGCACCCAAAGACTTGGTGAAAGGTTTGCCATCATAGAGAGGGCCCAGGCCGTCATACCATTACGAACAGAAGTAGTTTTAAACTTTTATTATCACTTTGTGGTTGAATGCCACCGTCAACCAGTTAAATTCATGGGAATGGGACAGACGTGAGGATACAGGGACCTTGACCTTTGACTGCCAAATTCTAATCGGTTCATCCTGATCATATGGACAGACAGATGTAAGGATGGATGGACAACCTGAAAACATAATGCCTCTGGCCATGGCTATAACTGGTGAGGAGGCACTGAGTTGTTTTAACTAATCTCTGACTTAAAATACATCAGTCTGTCAGTGACCAACATTGCAATGCCTGTGATACATCTTACAGCTTGAATAGAGAAGTTGAAATCCTACACGCATCTTCATCTCCACAGATCATCTTTTCATCTTTGTTCAATACTGAACTTTTGCAGCTGCTGTTCTGGGACTTTTTAGTTATTTTTATTTATTGTGATCGTCATTGTTCATAACAGCCTCTTCACTGTTTTTCTGTTTATACCAAACAAGCCCAAAATTGGAAATGTACTGTACGACTTCCTGGGCATCAAAAGCTCTTTCCTTACATGACAAATCTACCAGACACGTACTATTACCAACAGCAAATAAAATGTATGTAAAGAACTGGATAGGAGTTCAATCACAACTGTTTTCTACCAGGCTATGATAGAAAGTAAAAAAATATAGGAATGAAAATCCTTTGATGAAAATAATCACTTCCTCTCTCAGAGCTAATTTCCTTCAGGATATCAAAGGCAGCTGATGTAATCTGGTTGGCTTGCTTTAATTGAACCTTCCTCCCCTGCAAAGGCTGGGCAATACATCGAACGGCTTATAGGTCTGAGCCAAGATAAACCCACTTATAGGGTCATAAATCTGGGCTTATAGATCATCTGTATTGTCACTCAAGTGTTGAAGTTAATAAAATGATGCTTGTAGTGATTGGGAGGTCATCTCCTGTGGCTTTGCTCCCTGTCACCTGAGCAGAGACAGCAGACCACTGATTATTCAACAAACGGCGATTGGTGATTATGAAAAGGTAAGAAACACAGAGTGGCAGAGAAAAGGACATGAGACACACACACACACACACACACACACACACACACACACACACAAACGTGTTTACACCCCGGGGAGAGACTTCACGACTTACATTAATCTCCTTAAGTTAACCTTAACCAAAACAACCACTTGCCTATGGTGGGGGGCAAAGCACAAAGAGGGCGAGCCCCAACAATGCCAGAGTGTAAACAGGTTTCAGTCCCCCCACTGTGACTAATCCCAGGTAGACTCACACACACACACAGTGATGTTATATAAATGTTCCAACACTTTTTTCAACATGCCACTCGAACGCTGATGCTAGATCCATCAAGAGAAGAAAAGAGTCTGGTCTGAATAAAAAAAGGAGGAGGAGGGAAAGCCTCCTATGTGCTCCTGGGTTTGACAAGCAAGAATAAGTGGGTAATTGTATGCATGGGAAATATATACAGTATGCGATCTATATGTGTGTGTGCATGTTTGCAGAAACTAAGATTAAGGTATGCAGTTCTCTCCACATCTGTGTGAGCGTGTAAGCAAATGTACATGCCCATCATGTGTGTGTGTTGCACGGCGGGGATTACGCAAGTGTTCCTCTATGTTAAGTGTGTCTGTGGGTGGATGGTAGCGTGGGCATGAGATGGATCATTTCCAGTTTGAGTGAAAAACGCATTCAGATAGGAGGGGGCCATGGTACGTACAGTGTCTCCCCCCACGCGTTGGCTGCCTCCTCCTCTGCTCATGTATGCTGCAGTAATATATATACACACACACACACACACACACACGCACGGCTTTGTGATGAAGACTGGTGTCAGAGAGAGAGATGGGAGGCAGAAAGAGGTAGAGGTGAATGAAGGATAGAGGGGAAGAAGAGCTTTCTGCAGCAAATCAAGTTCAATCATGTGTGTCTGTGTTATTAAATAGAGAGGATTCAAAGAGATTACAATTTTACGTGGTTGTTTGTGCATGAACTTTCTGTTTACACAAACATATACACACAGACGGGATTCCTCACAGTTTCTCTATCTTCTCCTTGCCTGTGCCACTTTAACCATTTTGAAACGTGAGTCATCATGTTGACACAATAAAAAAAAATTGACAGATGATCAATAATTTTATGATTTATTTTCTCTAGCACACACTCAATCATATATACACATACACACACAAACTTGTACTTGTATCTTTGTCAGGACACTTATCTGAACCCTGAAAACAAGTTTTCACCCTCAAAAAGGTGTTTCAGAGTGCAAACATTTCCAAAAAGATCCTCACTCTGTAGCAAAAACAAAGAATAAATACTTTTTGGTCCTCGCTATGTAGCAATACTAGAACATACACAGGCTTTCTGACAATTTCTCAGTCTTCTTTATGCTCAAGCCACGCTTAACATTTGGAAACCTTGCATTTATATCATTAAATATGATTGGCGCATATACATGTACACACAGAGAACACCTCATGTTTCTGACAGATTTCATTCAATTCACTTGAACACAAACGGAGCAGACACACCAGACACACATTCAATATACTACACACAAGTATTCATCCTACTGCATATGTGGGGAAAAGTTCGTTACTGTGCATGTGTCCACGCTGTCTGCTACATTATATATATATGATCAGCAAAGACAAAATAACCAACAACTATGCAACAGCTCACTGAAGACATGGCTCACATTACACACAGCTTCTTTCTCTCTTTCTGTCCCACACACACAGAACAGGAGAGTGAGGATGTGATAGAGAGGCCATAAGGTCACAGCAGGTAATAAGGAGAGACACAGGACAAGACGGCAGCAGAGGCAGAGTGAGAGAGGAATAGACGAAGAGATGACTAGTGGGGATCAACTGAGGTGCTGGTGTCGAAAGTGAAGGACTCAAGAGGCACACAGAGGCCAAATTCTTCAGGGGACAGTCACCAAAAATGGTGAACAGATGGAGGATGAAATAAAATTCTTCCTGATTATTCCCACTTTGGGAATAATGAATTCAAACTATTATCTCCACCTAATGATTTGTCAACATCCATAACAATAATCGCTTCCAAACAATTAAATGAAAAGTGCTTCTGTGTGGTTTCATAGAGTTTGGAGGATACCAAGCAGCTGCTAAGCCCATTCAGTGTTGTTTGGTTGGTGTAAATTATTAATGGAAGTGACGACAGATAAAAGCCACGTTAACACTGAGCCAGGCACCTCCACCAGCGTTTGTCTTTTTGTAAAGCATTTGGTGATTCTACATGTACCCTGAAGGGAAGACAGTGTGCTATTTGGACTTCAAATGCTTAAATTAAAAGCAATCTATAAACCCATTAAGGCTCACTGTGCACTCAGCTTTTCCTATTAACACATCAGATTAAGACTGAAAACACATACACAGTATGTAAGCCATTATGTGACTAATGAAACTTCAACAGTGAAAGAAATAAACCCCTGTAGAGCAAACAAACTGACTTTCAACAGCTGACAAAATTGATTAGGCTGCAACAAGGATAAATGCACTTATAGTGTGTATGAAGCATGGATCAGTAAACTGAATGTTTTCTAGTTTTAATTTGCCTACATTTCATACACGTTAGCCATGCTAAGCCCATCTTTAACCTCCTTCAACCATCTTCAGCAACGTTATTATTAGTATTTTTTGCAAGAAAGCACCTAGCAACAAATCTAATAAATTAACGTCTCCTTAAAAGAAAGCTGACAATTAACGTGCACTCATGTGGCTGCAACCCTACAGGCCAACTGTTCATCGGCATGACAGAAATGTGTCTGGACCTAACAACCAATCACAGATGCCCACTGTTTGTATGGGGAACTCCTTCTCTCTATCATTTTAACATTTAAATACATGCTTCCATACTCACTTCATGCTAAAAGCTACACATGTGCCCAAGGACAAGACTGATTTACATGTTAATATGATAATATTATGTTAAAAGCTAACTGTTAGCATGTATTTGGGCCAAATGAAGTTCACCAAGCCTGACTCTGTTGAAAGGAAACAAAATCTACCTACTAGCATCTCTAAAGCTAGCAGGCCATAGCCTGACTAAATATTAGCCACTGATAACACACTACCTCACTCTGTGAAAATATACAGAAGTCATGCATTTTTGTAATAAATTTTCTGTGGGATGATCTTTAATTGTTTGCACGTCAGTTAACGTCAGTTTATTTTGATAATCCTAAATTGTATTGTTATCACCTTTGGCCAACATCTTTTTGTTTGCTATTTATTGCTACTTGCTGCTGGAGCATATTTAATATATGTAAAGTAAAGCTCGATGATTATGGTCTGTTAAGTGTAACTCTGCATAATTACTGTATACATACTCGTGGTGTCCCCAGCCCAGCTCTGGCAGGTAGGGCAGCTTCTTGATCCTGATGATGGAGTCGTACAAGGACGGCTGCAAGGACTGGGCCACTGCGTTGGCCAAGATCACTGCTATCATCACTGGCAGGATGTGGGAAATCTGGCCAGTCAGCTCGAACACGATGACTGCAGTAGAAACCGTGTGGGTGACCGCTCCTGCCAAAGCCGCTGCACCTTTGGGTGGGGGAGAGGACAGTCAGGTGAGCGAAAGAGTTGAGTTTTGCAGGGAAGCAATTATTCAGAACAGTGGTTTTCAAGGTGGGGCCTGGGGTTATCTAAAGTGTCCCTCAAGCGGGTTTCAAGAGCATCATCCATCACAATGAGAGAGTTCAGTGTTAACATGATTTCAAGTGCAATAAATAGTCTTTTTTTCTACCGCAGTGCACATACTGTATAAGAGCACTATTCAATAATATTCAGTGAAAACAGCTGAGATTTCTAACTTCCAGAACTGACCTCCCACCAGACCTGCTTGTTTCTGGAAACAGAAATAGTCTCAGTCATGGAAGATAGTGCCAAGACTGACTTACAGTCAAAACACATTTTATTCTCAAGTTTTAAAGAAACTCTTCACTTAGCAAATTTTAAGACATACTGAGATCAGAAAGCGACTGATGGTACGCCATGCTTGTTCTATTGTCATTGTTGATTCTGAGTGTGATGCCACCTAGACTCCATGCTATGCTGCTGCTGTTCAACTGGCATATGGCACATAAAACAACAGTGACGATTTGAGACATAAGAGTTTAAAAAGGAGTTTATATGCAGTCTGCAAATTCTTACAATGACAGGCTAATACACACACTTTTGCACTCTGCTTTGGGTTGTCAGGACAGATGGAGAGCAAATCTGACAGGACATGACCAGTGACTGACAGGCAAGCAGAGAGGAGATGATCTGCTGTGAGTGCTCTGTGTGCGCACAAATGTGAATGGATGAAAATGATTTTGTTGTTTATTGTGCTTTCTTCAGGAAGTGTCTCAGATGACCTTCTGTATATGAATGATTTACAGTGAGCCATATACCATTAAGACCTAACATGTGAAATTAAAACAAGAGTGAAACACTAATCATATGCTAGTAGAGAGGGGCTTCTACCAGCAACACAGGAGTGAGAGGCATTTATAATTTGCACAAAGCATCATCTTTTCATAATGATCATTGGAATATGCTGATAAGAATCAGTATGTGCCACTTCCACCATTTCTGCTGGTGCTGCTGCAAATGTTTACTCAAATTTATCTTATTCCTTACTGTGCTAAAGAGTTCTTTGCCTTGGAGGCTGCTGCATGACTTTCCAGTGTTACCAACAGGTAGATATACGTCAAAGGTGAGTTAAAAAAAAAAAACCTCAGTTACTAAAAATGTATAAAACCATTATAAGCACATCAAGTCAGAAAAATGACTATCCAAAACATTGGTTGCATTTTCATCAGTGTTATTTCAACATGGACAGTATAGGAAAATCATTACAGCAAAACCAAAGTTCCACCTTGTAAATTGATTTACTCACAGATCAAGTTTTCACCCTGTTATTAGTTTCCTCGACCCAGCACTCTCTCTATTATTTACTCTCATCCCAACAAACCAAATTCAAATCCTTCTCCACACAATCTTGTCTCATAGGCCCATAAGGCAAAAATCAACTCCTTCAGCTAATTCAATACAAACAGGAACCTCAAAATTTCCAAATCAATAAAGTGCTTTGGAAAGGGCAGTATAAACGCTACAGCGAAGCAGACGGGGCAGCTTGGGGAAAAATGAGAGTTCACTGTTCAGAGAAAATGGATGACCCCAAGCCAAGAATGAAATGAAGAAACAGATTGTGGGTGAGAGTCTGCAAAGGCAGGTTTCATTGCTCTTTCGTGTAACTTAATTAAGCCTGTGTATGTCTGCTTATCCTCCTCAGGTAAATGCTACTGCCTCTGCCCATCCTAACATTTAGTCCTTAAAGTGAGCTCTGCTGTGAGATGAAAGAGGCTAATCAGGGTGTAAGGCTTGTAAAGGGATGAGTCATCAGCAATAGTGCACCACAACAACAACAACAACATCAGCAGTCCAGAAAAACAGCCACTGCCAACCTGCAACAGTGGCATAATCAGCTTGGCTGTCAACAAGTAGCACAGTGGAGGAAATCACAACGCCGCATCTCATAGTTATAGCAAAATCCTACAGTGATAAAACCATAGGCTGTACAGTATATAAAGATAGACAATGTGGCCGCTCCCAGAAGTGGGGCCACTACCTGTTGGCTAGTGGCTTACGCCCCATATCCACTTACACATTGGCAAACAAGATAACACATGAAAGCTGCTCATATAAGTTACATACAAATAAATCTTGTGTAGATAAAAAAAAGAATTCAGCACATTTGAAACCCCCTTAAAATTTCATTTTGAGACTTTGAAGGGGTCCAAGCTGTCAATCACGGGGACTGAGAACACCCCCGAGGCCCCCTTTATTTTGCACATTGGTCAAAAACCCTGCCCCCTCCATGTTAGCTAGTACAAATCAAATTATTTCCTAAATGTGATTTCTGTCATTTTAGGCAATATTATCACGCTGATGTGGGTACAAGTGGTCATTTTTCTGGTATGTTATATTTATAAAAAAGAAAAAAAAGGTACAGTTCAGATGATTTGACAGCTCTGATTGGCGGCCTGATATCACGGCTCATCGCTACTGCACATAATTTGGTTGCAAAATGCATCACAAAAGCAAGTCAGCGCCCCCCATATTCACAATATTTTGGTTTCCCTTTTGCATAGTGGCAAGAGGTGTTGACAAGTTGTCAATTTTTATATATATTTTATGGCCAAAACATATTGTATGTGCTATGAAGTGCTAACTTCAAAAGCCCCAGAGCTTTGCTACCAACATAGCAATTATAACATAATTTACAAGTTTTTGAAATTTCCTAGACTGTATTAAGAACAGGAGGAAACAACTGACCCTTCTTTTAATTGCATTACAGACAACAAAAACAGTAAACATTGTCCCTTTGAGGCAAATCAGTGATTTGTGATATTAGGCTTTATACATATGTTAACAAACTACAATTAAACAAAAAGCGGCACTAGGGTGTGAAAGTTTTCCGATTTGTCAGCTGGTGTCTAAGCTGTTTTCCAGGTCATTTCTTTTTTTGTTAAGTCAGGTCTGGTGTTCCTGCGAATGTAATTTGATTTTGTCCCGATTGTTTGAGTCTCATCACATTCTACGTCTCCTTTAGTCAGGGTCCCTTTACAGTCTTAACTTGGAGATGTAAATTGAGGCATTGAGGTGTAAAATATCTATCATGATTCATCTTCTATGAATAGTGGAAAGAAAAGAGTAAAATTATTTACTCAAGTGGAAGAACTGATGCCAGAAACTTAATTAAAAGTAAAAAATGTGTGAACGTTATACCAGGTTGGCTAAATTCCATCATTTAAAAGCAGCCGAGTAGTTTATAAATGAGAAAACCTTTTCTGCAGGTGCCTTTAATGATCTCAGTTTGACAAAATGGGAGCATCACTGAGAGCAAAAACTAAAAATGGCTTTAAAGAAAAAGAAAAATGGACAAAGAGGGAAATATTAAAGCATAGAGTGACAGGTATCTGTAACGTACCGACGACCGCGTAGCCTCCTGGCACTATGGGGTAGATGGTGCCATCTGTGTGAATGCCATCTGGGAACCAGGCTGCCATGCTTTCCCCAACCAGACGACCAAACGCTGCCCCTGAAATACACACATACATATACGAATGACTTTTATCTCTGCTATTTGTTCTCAGCGTTCTGTTTGTTGGCCCTAGATGTACTGTTAAGCTCTGAATACAGCAGAGTTCTCTGTTCTGTTTGCCGTCTCTGCTGAGGAACCGAGTCTTGCAAGAAACTGTATAATTTTACTAGTCAGCTGTAAAAGTATTAGCAGCTGGATTTTGTTAGCTTTGGACAAAGCCAGACTAGTTGCTACTTGCCTCTAGTGTTTAAGCTAAACCAGGGGATTTGGACTAATTGTGACCCAGGGAGCACCATTCTGACCAAGTAATCTGAAGATCCTTGCTGGATAGACAGAACGGGCATCATCTTAATCCTGAAAGTCACCTTGGCTTTTCTAAATTGTACAAATTTGTATGAATTAGATTATTCACAAACATTAACTAATACATTGAAATGTGTTTTAAAATATTCCTACAATGAAACTACACTATTGAATGCATGTTCAGAGACCACCTGCAGGCCACGGACCACTGGTTGAAACCCCCTCAAGTAATCTGAAGATCCTTGCTGGATAGACAGAACGGGCATCATCTTAATCCTGAAAGTCACCTTGGCTTTTCTAAATTGTACAAATTTGTATGAATTAGATTATTCACAAACATTAACTAATACATTGAAATGTGTTTTAAAATATTCCTACAATGAAACTACACTATTGAATGCATGTTCAGAGACCACCTGCAGGCCACGGACCACTGGTTGAAACCCCCTGCACGTTCCCTAAACTAAGGTGCTGGCTATAGCTTCAGTTTTAGCAGATGGACATAAGACTGGTGTTAATGTCCCTAACCAGTCTCAGCAAAAAAAAAAAATCAAATTGTCAACCTTCTATTAATATTTAAAGAGGTTGAAAAAGGTAATATTTTCTTTTAATGAACTGAATATTAAATATAATTTTTCTGTTCACCATCACAAGTGCATCTATTCTCACTGGTCTAACACACACAGAGGTTATTTTCTTCTTACCAATGACAAACACTGGCATGAAGGCTCCGCAGGGCACGGGGATGGTGGTGGCCAGGGCAGACATCCAGAACTAAGAGAGAAAAAGACGGAGATAAAAAAAAAAGAAAAGGAACAGGGTGGCATTTCAATTAGCTTCACAGTACCATCCTCTGTGCCCCTAGATGATAGCTAAGTTGAATCCGCTAGCAGCAGTGAGGAAGCAGCCATGTGAGACTTACTGCTCAGGTTAGATTAAGCTGTCACTTTTACTCTTCATTTGACAAAGACCCTGAAATGAACCCTGGGTAATGAGCGGCCTCTGCCAATTGGCTGACACTGTGCCAGGCGAGCGGAAGAGACTGCTAATTAGGAAAGACAAACAAAAAGCGAAATGTCAACACCGACGCTGTGTGAGCCTTATCGGCATGGTGTGTGTGTGTATGTGCCTATGTTTAACAGTTATGAGTCTTATAATATGATATGAGGCTTAGTTTTGGAAAGAAAAAGGCTGCACTGATACTTGAGACAGTATTAAAAGTCCATCTGTGCATACTTGTGTGGCCTTCTTGTGCGTCTCATTGAAATTCAAGTTAGACTGCACAGCCAGTGTAATATCGATCAGTTCTACAGTAGGACAGTATAGGAAATGAACAATTAGACTCTCAGGTTTTAAGACGTAATCAGTTTTGCTGGTTTCACACCTATAGTTCTGTTCATTTGGTCCAGTTTTAGTTCTGGTCACAGTTTTATGCCAGACCTTTTACAAACGAACAACACTGGAGCTGTAAACATCCAGGTAGAACAGACAAGTAATTCATTCATTGGGCAGTTTTAGTTATGTCATTCTGCATCGTCAGCAGAACATGAGGAAATGTTATGTATTCTTTATTTTTCCTGGTGTCAAAATGTGCTTTCAAGTAAATACGCATTATTAGTTGAGATTGCATTTCAATCTCATGCCATACATAGTGACAAACAGATGTAACCAAGACAAAAAGAAGGGCAGGAATGTTACAGGAGTATGGTTGTGTGGTCACTACATTTCACTCTTTACTCAGGAACTACTGAAATACACAAAATACAAACATTTCAGTTTGAACTTCTTTTCATTTGATCAGGGAAAATTAACTCACTCGTACGTCGTCATCATCATCTCAATATTTAGCATAAATTAAAGCTCTACTTTATCACTGGATGCTTTATAAACAACTCACAAGCAGTAGATGAGTTTAAGCAGTAGTTCTGCTTTCAAATTCATACTAAATCATATATTTAGTATCACAAGTGGTCGGTCTTTTTTGCATTCACACCACAAACTAACTGCATCAGCCTGACTGGCTGGGCTGAGACCCACCTTTTTGATGATGCTGACCTGGTTTTTCAGTCTGCACCTGAGTTTAAGCGACAGCTTTTACACCAGATCAAACAGGCAAAGACACCTTAGTTTGTCTGAACCCCACCACACAGGTAGGGGATAAAAACCCCGCTAAAAGTGGGTCTGCACTGAACTAAAACACAAAACAAAAAAAGGAACCTTTAAATTCCCAATGTTTCTGCGTGTGTGGAAAACACGTGCTTGTTCCAAGGCTTTAAAGCTACAATTTTACAAGCATCAAACAAGAAGCATTGCACATGCCGCTACACAAACCTCAGTGTAATAATCTTATAGTTTTTAATAGACTTTTTAATTACACTCATTGCTCTGTCTCTCTCCAGCCCGCCATGCCGCCTGTTCTTTTCCACTCCCTCTGCTCTGTCTATAGTTAGCTGTAATTAAGGTCGGCTGCCATGGTGACGTAATGGATCCTCTTTTGTAACTGTACATGGGTGCCATTTTCACACCTCACACTGCGCACACACATTCTGGTGTGTAGGTGTTCACGCACGCAGGCTCCGTGATGAGAATCAGAGATGAACACAGCTGGGTGCCAAAGACACAACCAGTTGATCGCACAAAACCAGGCTTCGTGGGAAATTCAGACAGTCAAAGGAATAATTCTCTAGATTTGTCTTGGCTTGTCTTCATCTTCTTCTTCCCTTGTTCCTTTTGTTCCTTCTGAACCAGTAAAACCTTAATAAGAGCAAGAAAGATTTCAAGGATCTGGGAACTCATAACATGGGCTTAACTTTATTACAGAGGCCATGAACTCCGAGGAGAGCACTATATGGTGCATGGGCATGTATGTGCACAAGAGCATGTCCCTGTGTAGCTGTGGGACCTACGGACACACAAAAAAATGTTTTGAAAACCACACAGAGGACGACGCCAATCATGTCCAGTTGGAAAGTTACAGGTAGACCCACAGTAACTGAACATAGCCGCCATCTCAAGCTTTCAGTGAAACCTTCATAGTAAATTAGATCATAACCAGGGTTTCTGCTGGATTTATGAGTGTACTGTTAGGTATTTTTAGTCAGATAGAAATTGGATAGATACTTTATGTATTAGAAATGTTTAGTGGAGATAGGATGTCTACTGTTAAACGCTTAGTCATGCTTATGAGTTTCTACAGGGTACATCTGGTCAAGGATAACTAGAGAGAAGAGTTGATGACTGTCAGCAGACAGGGTGTTTAATATTATTATTATGACGTGTATAACTGTAGCCTTAGTCATAATATGTTCTTATGTTTAAGTCACGACATGTTACTAGAAGTCTGTGAGAATGTTTTTAG